CTATGTTATTAATAACCACAACTCCTTACTTCACAACACAGAGGTTGCATATTTGCTGCATGCAGTTCATTCACCCTTCTTCTAGCAACCCTGTTGGGCTGATGGTTTCCCTGCACATTTTCTACAGGCCTGACCCCTCCTATAGGTCCAGTTAAATCTTTCTCCTTTTAGTTTCAGAGACATGCAAATAATACTCCATTTATTGTCTGCTTAGCTGAAGAGCTCACAAGTGATGTTCTCAGCTGATGTTATCTCTAAACTGATGAATAAGCGATCTTGTGGGGAAACAGTTGTGTTTGCTCTATTGACCCACACATTTCTGTGTGTGGCTCAAGTCACCTGCCTCTCAGTTCTGTCTCCCATGACAAAGGGACTCTAGTGAAATGCTTGCTTTCTGTTCACAACAAATATATCTCCACTGCAACTGTAATGCAGACTAGGTGAGGTTTTGCAGTTGCCTCTGTCTTCATTTCAATTCTTTCGGAATGGCTAATTTTCACACCAGCCTCTGTTAATACCTGTTCTGATACTGTTCCATTCTCTATACCACAAAGCAGCTGTTTACCATACACCATTTTAATTGTTCAGACAGGCCTATATAGTTCAACAGACACAAAATTGATTACATAAGCCATTAGGCTCAAAGGTCTGGAGAGACGTATGTCATCTAAGGCATCATTCACTTCTTTAAAGCCTTACAGAATCAATTTCCAGCCAGCCAGACATACTTAAATGTAAAGTTGGAGAAGGCACCAATCCATTTTTACCTTTTCATAATGCATATCACCAGCACAGAGGAAGGAACTGTTGGCTGGGAGGTGCACAGGTGTAATAAAAGACTGTAGGTGTTGCTAGGTGAAGCCAATTTGTGTTTGCTTTTATTTTGTGGAACAGCATATGGCAGCTTTTCACTAAGTCTGAGTCAATCAGATTTCTAGGCGCAGAGTAATTTACGTGAGCACGTCTTTAACCTGCTAATCATTAGGACAGCACATTTTTCAGCCTGTGCAGCATGCTTTGCCTTGGTGCCTAGGTGAGCTATCTCATTTTTCACTCATGAACCTGCCAAAGTTCACAGCTTCCTGTGTAACCACAACCTGCAAATCATCTGCCACTCTACCTAAGGATGGTCTGCTCTATGACACTGTGACTGTGCACCTTTGTCTTCTCAAATCTATGGGAGCCTTCTTCCCCATTTAATCGCAATGCTTTTACTGTGAGGCAGAAAGAGAAGTCCATCAGCTTCTTATTAGCAATCATCAAGAAGCCAAATGAATGGGCAGAAACACAGAGTGAAATGAGAGAAAGATACCAGAGAGACTCCTGCAAATGCCCCAAAGGGTTATAAATCTTTGCTCAGAGGAGAATTGAAAAAAGAACAGACGGACTGGCTGTTAGAAGTGACCCTGGGAATAGCCACGTGAGCAGAGACCACAAAAATGAAGGAACTGGAGGGACCTGGGAAATCTTATCAAGGAAGATATTAAGAAAAAAGGGCTTCAAAAGCAGACTGTTAGAGCAGTTATGGAGAAACATGCCAAAGATGGAAGGAATTCTGATAAAGGCAATATCAGTATAGGAGTCCTGAGCCCCTGTTGCCATACCTTCCCACTGCTATTCTGTAGCTTAGGGGAGAGCCTGTGTTTGGGGGAGGTCTGTCTGTGAACCAGAGCAGCACACAGAATTAGCCCTACTCGGTACAGGCTCCTGAAAAAAATCACAGCCCACCAGAAGAAGAGGATGGGCGTCTGATAATCAGAGGTGATGGAGTCCTTTAAGAGGATTCTTTCCTTTGTACCATTTGCAGTCATGCACTTCAATCCGTAGTGCTTTGTGTAAAATTTTGCCTTTTCCAAATGTGGCAGAAATTGCTTATACGTTTTGTTCTGAATTGCCCTGTACCTTTTTGTTACCTGAACAAAACACTGCAAAAAGAAGTAATGAATCTGATCTTGATCAATACTGTGCAGGATACAACAATGGCACGTGTAGAGGATACTATCTGCAATTTTCAGGCATCTTGCAGAGGTTGCAGAGGCAAAAACCTGGATTATCTTCTGCCTGGCAGCAGGGTAGGTTCTTAAAACAGGACAGCTGCCGGCATAAACATTGCTCAGAATAAGGGCAGCACAGACATCCTGTTAAAGTCTGTCATTTTCTGTAGAGTACAGAAGTGCCCAGTTTTCCCATTTTCAGACAGAGGACTGGCAGCTCCGTGCGTGGTGTGAGTGGCACCGCTCCCGCTGCTCGCCAGCTCTACCTGAGCCCCCAGCTCCACACGTGCTGCCCAGGCTCGCCTCTGGTGAGGATGCCTGCAGCCAGCTCCAGAGGCTCTGGTAAAACAAAAGGGAGCGAGACTGGGTTTGTGGACAGGGCCTGTCACAGACCACTGACTCACGTGGAGAAAATGCATGAGCAGCTTCTTAAACAAGTAGCTAAAAATAAGTAGAGAAGCAAGTTGTCAGTACTTGATATTTCAGCTTAGGAAGCACAGAAAAATCCCATGCCTTCCATGCTGAAACATACGTAAGAGGTTTTTTTAAGACGTAGGTGGTAAATTCTTAATAGGAGAACGGCACTCTGTTTAACCAACTCACTGTAATTCCATGCTAGGCTTCCTGCTGTTCAGTTCAAATGAACTGATCATTGAGTTAAAAATGTTAATATTATATACAGACCTACACAAGCATCCTTGACAAATGATATAAAACAGTTCCTCCAAAAGGTTTCTATTACACATACATAAAATTGACAATTAGCAGATGACAAATAAATAATAACTCATATGTGTTAATGGGATAATGCCATTGAAAGGCAACAAAATTAAATGGTACATAATTAAATTACGCAATGCACCATTTATCCTCCCCAGCCACCAGCCCTGCTGACAAGGGCTGCTCTAGACAGAAGCTCAGGCTAATGGAGCCACAAGTTCACCGGGTTTGCCTTATCTGTCCCCCACACCACCTGGTCAGTGATTGCAGACACCATCAGCGGCTGCTGCCTCCAGCCTCAGGCACGGAGACTCCCAAACACCATCCCCACTCTCTCGGGCTGCTCAAGAAACCCTTGAGACGGTTGTGAAAAGAGGGGACAGGCACTGACCACCGCTGCAAATGAGACTGACTTTAGCAGAAAGATTTTCTTCTGTCTGGTTGTCAGAAAACCACTCTGGGGATGCTCATTTGTGAGGTGAACTCATTACCCCCAGGGCTGAGGAAAGCTTCCCGAAGGTAATGAGCCTCAATGCCTGATATGAAGTAGGTGTGCACACAAATTTGGCACTTACCTGCTATTCATTTGTTTGATTTTGAAATGAAGTGAAAAAATGCACAAATATCAGATATGCTTGACGGCCAACACCACATAATGGTGGCCACTTCAAGTATAACCCGTTCCCTTGTAGCACCCACTATTCCTGCCCAGTCGTGTTATCCCTCACATATTCTTTCCTGATGCTGATTCCCTCCTTTAAGGTAAGTATGTATACCCAACAGCATAGATCAGCAGGATGCTTTACATTTTGATACAGCGATCCTTCAGCACCAGACAAGCAACACAGAAAGGAGAGGAGATTCTTATTGATTGTGGAATCCTCAACAAATATCACGTTATTTTAGTTAGCTACGGTATGAATATCCTGCTTTACTTTCCAAGTTGACAAGGCATAGAGGACTGAATTAAAAATATATTTATTCTGGATCCTTTTTACCAACACAGTGGAAACTAAATCTGTGATTTGCTCACTTCTGCCTGTATGCTCCTGAAAAGGAGAACAGACTTGAAAGACAGAAACCGCAGAGAGCTCCAGCAATCGCAGGATTCCCCTAAACCAGGGTCAAACCCTGCACTTGCCAATTCTGAGTAAAGTGGTTTCAGTAAATCAGGTACCCAGAGCGATGCAGGTTTCCTATAAACGCAAAGACAAAGCCTTTTATTTTGATCTGACTGATGATTTTGAGTTGACTGCCACCAGACAGGAACCAAACTGCAATTCCCACACGAGAATGCTGACCCAGCATCTGCAAAGTTTGTGGCATGGATAGCCTTTATTTTGGTTAGACTACCCCAAGCAGAGGAAATTATACATGCAAATGGGGATGTGATCTTTCTTATATTTACCCATGTTGTTCCGATTTCAGGTATGTTTGGGCCCAAGTTTTCTGTGATGACCAGAACAGAGCAAACAGAATTTGCTATGTATTTGGAGTATCTTCATTTGATAGCCTTACAAGCTAATTCTGTTATTCCAGAATGCAGTAGATTAATATCTACACACACCGAATATCACATCAGATAGCACAATCAAACATATGGTAAGGTATGGAGTATTCATAAAGGAGGAGAAGACAAAATGCCAGAATGCCATTCATGTGCCAGCAGGCAGAACCCATTGAATGAATGGGTCAATGTGACTAAGTTGTTAGTATCGTTTTATCTGTTTACAAATATCACTGCCAAATCAAAGTAGCTATCTATTGTTTGCTCAACAGCTACATGTTATTTTCCTTCATTATCCAACCTGCTTTAGTTTGATTCTACATAAGCTTAAAACTGTGGGGAAAAAATATCGCCTGCATGGAAAATTGCTGTGGGATTGCAAAAGATGTAGAGCTTGCCAAAGAAAATGAACTCTAAAAACTGTTTTCCTTGTTTATGTGCTCTCTCCAGGCCCTCTTGTTTATGTAAGGGCTCAATATATGCTCAAGTTACCTTGCGTCAGCCAGGCTGTGGTAATTGTCTGTGTGTGCACTTTTTGCCCGTAGAGAATGCAAGAAAATTTAACTTAGTTTAAGCCCTTTTCACTGCAGGCAAACCTAACACAAATTACCTGAGGGGTGGGAGCGTGCACCTAACTTGCACGTAGTGATATGCTACATCCCAGAAGCCTTATGCTGTGTCTGAGACCCAGGATTATGAAAGGCACCCTAAAAGGCATCTGGGACAGCTTGTCTTTTTTCTGTGAGTATATCGCACAGGCACACGAACGAAGGACTTACCTGCCACGCCTCAACCTTCTTAATGTCTGCACAGGATCCGTTAGTGAAGAGTCCCTTCCCAGGGGTGCAGGTATATATATCCTGCAAGGCATGGGCAATAGAGTACACTGCCAAATACACATTATAGGATATCCGCAAGTGTGTATAGTCCATGTATGGTGTTTCCACACTGGTGATGTTCTCATCCCCTGTACACGGAGGTCGGAAGGCAGCCGTTCCATTTCCAGCTCCCAGTCCCTCTTCATGGCCCTTGTGGAAGGACGTTGAAGCTGGAGAATTTTTAGACCCATCGGGGAGATAGCAGTTAAATGTCTCCTCCCAAAACTCCTTGGCAAAGCCGTTGTTGGTAGACTTCTTGGGATGCACCTTCTGCAGAAACTCACGGAAGCCTGGGATCTGTCCTGCCTTCAGTGCAAACCCAATGGTGCTGCCAATGACACGGAAGAACTCTGGCATGGCTATTAGGGAAGAGCTGGCCCAGGCCTCGCTCGCCAGCCAGATCTTGCCAGTGATGTTTCGCCTGACAATCTCTTTGATGAGAGGCTCCAGGTCTGGGCCACTGGAGAAGACAACAATCACCCTTGCTGTGGAGTTTTGGATGACCTCTACCACTTGCTGGATCTCCTCTTCATCCGAGTACTGGGAGATGAGCTCACTAAAATCAATGCAGATATCCCTCTCCTCCGCCTCCTCCCGAAACTTTTCAATCCCTGGCCGGCCATAGTCATCGTCAGCTGCAATTGTTCCTACCCAGTTCCAGCGAAAGTACTCGATGATGTCTGCCATTGCCGTGGCCTGATGCTCGTCATTGGGGATTGTGCGGAGGAAGGACTTGAACTGGTTCTTATTGCTCAAGAGACGACTAGAGGAGGCATAGCTGACCTGTGAGAGCACAGTAAACAAGCAAAACACACCATGAAGTGAACTGTCTGGAATAAATTGCCTCCATTCATCTAGCATCGCTGTCAACCTGTCTGACCTCAGATGGGATGAAGAGAGGGCTGAGCACCACACTGGCAGCCACGTACTCTTAGTCTGTGGTGGCACATGATCCACTCTGAGAGCCTGTACGTTCTTGTAGCTGTGACTGTCTTACAGAGGCACACATACAGCAGCGGCTACTCGGACCGAGATTGTGTCCACCTGTAAGGTCAACGATCTGAGGAGGGACAGAGACACTGGCACTAGCTTGGAGTAACGGCAAAGAGGTGAGCCACGGGTGGCCTACACGCTCAACTTCCTGCTGAATGCGGAAATTAGAAGAATGTATCTTTTAGATAAATGAGGGCAATGCACATGATTTAGACAACGAGGGCCGTGCACGTAATCCAAACGAAATGCAGGTGGCTTCTGTTCTGAATCAGACCTGAGACAGCAGGCTGGTACTGCCATACCAAACCTACTCTGTCGGCCTCTCCTTGCCTCTCACCCCTGTCCCCATCCTTAGACAGGCTGCATCGGGCACCATACACGTTATATACAATACCCGACAGTTGAAGTAAGAGGAATGTGATGTATGTCAGTTGCCTGGACCCTGCGGACTGCTATGGTAGTGCTGGTCAAAACTACCTTAGCAGTACTTCCCAGCTGCTAGCCAGGAGCAGCAAAGAAGCTAACAGGCATTCCACACTCCATGAGCCACCATGTTTTACAGTTAAAATAGGATTTTATTTCATTTTCTAAAGCTATCAAGAAATACATTTTTCTCCTAATCAGAACAAGTGCCATATGCTCTTAAGATATAATTTACATTTTCTACAAGTAGGAAGAAAATGATAAAACCCAGAAGAGAATAATTTAAAGGTCTGGAGAACTTTAAAAACTCATTTATCTTTGCATTTTGAAATTGGTATCTGAACTTTTTAGTACTGATTCTCATTTGAAAAAGTCTTCTATAAACAGTTCATTTTGTACAAAGTAGAAATTTACAAAAAACCTTATTTCCTCCTTAAACTCTGGCGTTTAGTGTTTCTGCAAGAAGAAAGAGAAGGAGGTCTCCTAGTGCCATTTCAAGGGTCACAGGAGAAAATCCTCCTTTCACAGATCTATAATCTCCCCTGGACAGGCTCCTGCCCAGTGCTACTCTCACCTCCTACAGCCTATTGCCAGGAGGTACAGGCAAGGTGACCCACTCCTGCAAGGTACTCCACTCCCACAGGTGCTGTAAGGGTACGCTGAGGTGAGAAACCGAGAAACAGAACAGAAGTCATAACATTTTCAGTTTCTATGTCAATGGAATGAGTAATGAGCCTTACATTAATTGTAAAACATACCACCAACTTCTACTAAAATGCAAGGTCTGTTAAGCATGGGTTTGCTAATGGCCTTGCTATAAATGGCAGTAATAACGCATTTTCTAATGCTGCCCAACAACTTCCAGTTTAAAAGCCTGCTTTCAGTTTTCGTACTTCAACCACCTGGCTGAGATTTTGCTCTAGAACTGAACCTCCTGACATCTACCCATTTCTGCAACCTTCAGATAAGACTACTGCCTCATAACACAAACACCATTCCCTGTTCAAAGGGAAAGTCTGAGAACTGTAATCATCTCTTATCTTCAGGCCAACTCACCAACCCTTCTCAGCTGCCCTTGTTCACCTGGTAATGTGATGTGTAAATCAACAATACCCCTTAAAATGCCATCACAGTGTTTATTGCACACCACCTTCCTATGTTACTCTGGGCAATACCTAGCTAGCACATACAGGTCTGAGCTTAAACCAATCTTGCCCTGATCAGAGACCAAATGTCCATTTTTTCAGCCTCCTGCAAGGGAGTCAGACTGGTAACATTAAATAGACAAGATATATTACTGTGCACCAGGCAGTCAAGAATTCTTCCTTCTTCATTTGTGGTGCAGATGGGAATTAGAGCCCTGGCTGAAGTAAAGATAACTCTTCTCAGGACAGACCAAGAGTATAGTGTGACACAAGCTTGTTACAAGAACTCTTGTGAGCTCTGGCATCTGTATTCATTTTAGAAGAGGAACTAGAAATGTTAGGCTATACAAGGCAACACATAAATGCGTAAGGTCAAACACTTTTTCTAAAGTTGTATTCACTGTGGAGATCTAAAATCAAGAGCTACAACATTAAGCTATAATACACCAGCCTCATACTTTGCTTGAGGTCTTGACAGAGCAACAAGCTTGTTAAACAAAAGGATGGGCCCATGGATGCTGGCACCGACCCCAGCAGAGTCAGCAGACAGCAAGAAGGATGCTGTGACACAGGAGCTGGCACAACTACGCCACCACACAGAAGATTCCAGGACAAGGGAGGGCATATTCACACGTTTTCACAAACCCTGTTTTGAAGGTGCTAGGGCAAAAGAAAGGCAGGTCAGCCCAGAATAAACCTTCACAGCACCTGATCAGCACAAGCAACAACTTTACATATCACCTATTTGAATGATCAGAGATGCTGACAGACCTAAGAGTAACCGGTGGTGACTGAGTTCTGCCGTAAATGGGCTCTGTGAGAGTTGGGCATGAATAGACAGTGACCATGGTGAAGCAACATCACAACTAACCTGTCAAGGCTGACAACTGCCAGTGACTGACCTAAAACACCCACGCTCACAGACTAAACCACTGTAGAGGACTCTGGTCCTCCTAGACTAAGTTGCTGTTGGCTGAATGTTGTTATTGGCAGCTTGGTAACCTTTCTGTTTGATGACTGCAAATTGCTAGCAAGACATATTTCTACTGAAAGAAACCCCTCACATTTTGCATTGTTTCTCTCCCTGAAGTTCTATTGGAAATGGCAAAGATTAAACAATATTTGTTTAAACTCTGCAGAGCAGAGAGGCAGGCCATTTCTGTAACCTAAACAAGAGAGGTGAAAACATACCTGAGGTATGTAAAAGAGTCCCAGCAGATTGGCCACAGCGGTAGAGATGCCAGAGCCGGTTGCCCCCACGACTGCAATGGTGGAAGGGATATGTTCTGAGCAGTTGCAGAATTCATCCAAGTTCAAGGAGTCTATCTTGTTCTGGGCCACAAAACTCAGTGTGGCCTCCAGGGCTTTAGAGACTGTATTGCAAGTGTCAAATATCCTGTATCCCAGGGTCATGTTGGGAAGGAGAGTTGGGCTACTGTTTATTTCTTCTATGGCAAAGATCATAGCCTGGAGCCAGCGGAAGCCTCGGAAATTATACCTGGAGGAATAAAAATAAAAATAAAATAGAGTGAGAAGGAAGGAAACAAAAGAGAGGAGACCAGGACTGAGTCAAAGACAGAGTGAAGAATTCCAGATAAAGGCAAAATCAACTTATACTATTTCTTGCATCCTACTAAATCTGGAAAGTTTTGCTTTTGTATTCAGTGGTTACAGAACAGGCGTGCATATGCTACAAGGTTTTGTTCTGGTTTTCAGCTCTTCAGTTTGGGAGCTCACTTCAGACCTCGTGAGGGTGAGATGAAATTTTCTAAGTCCCCTGAAGTCTGGGAAAGTCTGGGAAAGTTGAAAAAGAGCATGCCTGGGGTGTTGACTCTGGCCTGTCCCTTCTGCTCAGAACCCTAAACCTGGATCTCGTGATTCCTGAGCAAATGCTCTGACACAAAGCTACACCTACCAGGTTTCCTTCCAGGCTCCTCTGACATGTTTCTGAATGCAGATGGCAGTGTCTGCTAAGCTTGTGCTGAGTGCGATGCTGCCAGTGACTTGGGCTCAGGGATACTCGGTGTGTCAGCTCCTCATGGCTTTAGGCAGGTAGAGCAAGCTGAGACACAGCACTGGCATGCTGCTTGATGCACAGGTGCCTGGGAGCTCTGCTCAGGGAAATTTGGCCTCACATCACACACTTCACATTGTGAGAGAGGGCATAGTCAACCTGTTTATACCAGAGAACAGAGACATACTATAAATGTAAATCCTAGCGTAACTTGCTAACTTGTTAATTAGATACTTCAGTGCTTTCATTGAAGGAATAACTTTACTCATTATTATAGCGCTCTCATACATTTGCTTTACACACGAGCTCAGAAGGTGCCATCAGAGCTGGCCTGTGAAGTTGAAACGGTGTTTTCTGAAGCCTCCTCTGTTCTCTAAAATGGAGAAGCTGAGTTTTCTGACTCTCAGCTGTGCATGGAGCTAACCCAGAGTTGGGGAGTAGTGACAAGGGTGCTGCAGGACCTGGGAGTCCCTGTTTAGAGCATTACCCGGGCTGGCAGTGAAAGAAGCTGATGCAAGGGGAGTGACTACTTATCCAAAAAAGAGAAGCTTCTTCGGGGAAAGCAGCAGGAAGAAAAGTAGGTTTGATACACGTTATTCGCAAGTTGTACTTACTGTGTTTTCTCCCCTAAAGTTTCACAAGCAACCCGTTGTGTGCCTGTGAAGCTGGTGTATTTCAGGGTTATCCAGCTTGAATGGCAGAATCTCTCATGAGCTGAAACCTGCCCTTCCTTGTAATGCACAATGGGTCAAGACAGCAGTTAGTTTGCAGTTTTGTGTTGAATTGCAGCTGAAAACAGGAGAGTGTCAAAGCTGTTATGCTTGAGTTCCATTGGGAAAACTGACATGCCCCAGAACTGGAAAAGCATGGGGAAACAGTCTGCCCAGTAACAGATTCTATATGAAATGGTAAATTTTAGGTTTCACATGCGGGCCATTTTGAAATGCTTTAAGAGATGTTTTCATTACAAAGGTGAAGATTTCTAAAGATAAGCTTCATGAAATCACAAACCTTCAATCTCTGAGATACATGACCTGAACAGTTTCTAATTGCTGTATTAAATTAATTGCTTCCAAAATTAATGTTAGCTATGTATGACTTCTTCAAAGCTGAATGAACATAGCCACATTACTTCCATTCCAGGAGTCGGATCTGATTCATCTGGGATCAGAACTGCTAAAGATATCACATCTAAGGTTTAAGTCTCAAAAACTTGACTTACACAGTTTGATTTCATCTGCTTCAGACATCCTTGGCCAACTTCCAAATGAGGTCTTGCTCTGAGGTTGTACGTCAAAGACCAGACAGCATGGTTTCAGTACAGATCTCTTCAAGCTAAAAAGCTTGAGGCTGGTAAAACCCCTTAGTTATGACTTACGACCAAAAGAACAGCTAACTTTTTTAAGATCACTCTTCAGAAAATGGACACCCTTTAGAACATGGGTGTGTGGGTTACTGTTAGAAGTAATTTGGTAAGAGTATTTTTTGCTTTAGTTTCAAACCGATAAGGAGCGAGATGCAATGGGAAAGCTCTGAAATAAAAGGACAACTCTGAGAGTGAATGAAGCAGTGAGTGTTGTGTACAGAAAAAAGAGTAATGCACACTGGGATGAGGGTCAGCAAGGAGGGGTTCTGTGACACTTCTTTTTAAGAAGCTAAATGTATTTTCAGATATTTTTAATTAAAATGAAAATAGGATTCGAAGCAAGGAATTATATCCAGGCTCCTCATGTGAAAAATAAAAATCTGAAAGCATTTTCTATATTTAAAGGGAAGACTGCTGAGAAGCTGAGAAGTTCAAGGGTACCACTGTGAAAAGCTTCACACATTTCAGTATGTGCAAAAGTAAATTTAAGGCTGCTCACATTAAATTATACAGGTGGAATACGACACAAAATTATTTTGCCTGTTTGACAGCAATTTGACTTAATTTTTTTAAATGCCACAACATGGTATCTTCAGGTGATATCTTCAAAAGCAGTGAGAAGTGGACTGTCTTCCCCTTGACTTCAGAGAAAATACTTGCCATTTAATTCATTAAATGCAGACTAAGGCCCATGATACACAGTTGCTTTCATTTTCCTTCCTGACATACGCTCCTGATGAACGTTTATTTACAGCCTATAGGTACTTCAGGTATTTGAGTTTGGATTGATTTTATTTTGGAGGGGAAAGGAGAGTAGGGGGTCTCTTCTGGGAGCCAGACTCCAAAATGTCTTTGAAATGCTTTTGATAATGTACCTCAAACTAGCTGGGGCAGGACACCTGCAGTTCTCTTCAGTTGCACCTCTGCTGATGGCAGCAACAGATGGGACGGAGACAACCACACCTCGCTCTGTTTTCTCTAATACCTGAGAGATTTTCAGACCAGGTCTCATTTTGTTCATTGATACAGTGTTGTATCCGTACTGTAACACGGATATGGTCAGGTGAAGGCAGTGCCACTAAACTGGTCTAAATGAAGCAAGATTTTATGACTCCTTCAGTCCCTGAAAATGCAAACTGTGTGGATAAATTCTCTCCAGTTGTACTGTAAGACCTCAGCAAGGGGCTGCAGATAGGTTCCTCTTGGCTTATTGTGTGTACAGGAGCGATGGGTAAGAGCAGCCTCTGAACCTGGCAGCAGCTTACACCAATCCAGCTGGCCTCCTGCGCTATGCTGCTGCTGTGACTAATATGACTAGTCACTGGAATGCTCTGTCAACCATGCAGAAATCTGACTGGTAATTTCCACGAAGAAACTGCAAAGGATTTGCTAACAGAAGCAAACTTTTCATTAGATTCCCAGAATATTTAGCTACTGATATTTTCTTAGTGGAAAATAAGCAGCCTCCAAAACTTATTTTCTGCCATTACAGGTACCTTGGCATAGTTTTTTATTTTAACATATCTGAGATGTAGTGCTATGAAAAGTGACCGTTAAGCTCTAAATGAGAGTTTAATGTAAATAATTCAGTGCCCAAAGGTGTAGATAGGATTTTTTATTTACACTCTGCTCTTTAAAGGTTTCCCTTTCCCTTCTGATGTCTGTTCTCCCACCTGCCAGAATATGTCACTGATCTTTCTATTCCCAGGCTGGAACACAAACAGGGAAGAAGAAATCAGAAACAATTCCTCCACAAATCCTCATTTTAATTGTCTCATCTGCAGGGGACAGATTATCTTTGCAGCAGCCCAGTTTGCTAGATGGTAAACTTGCAAGATCTCACTGATTCCTACAGGTTTCTTTGTAGTTGGTATAAATGTGCCCGTCAAGGGGTGCTCAGGATGGCTTAAACGTCTCAGTCACTGTTACAAAGCAAAGATATGTAAATTAAGGGACACAAGCTCACTGCATGGTTTAAGCTTCCCATAGCTCCATCCCTTGTTTGTTTGCTTGTTTGTCTGGTTTGAACAGCTCTTATTGTCTGGATCCAGCAGGGAAATTAGTCCTGATCCCTGTCAGTCTCCATAAAAGAATAATTCACAGCTTTATGTGAATTCGTGACCTTCATTTATCAACACTTGCAAGGCACTAAACTAAAAGCAATAGAATATGAAGGAAAAGAAGGAGAATGTAATGTGAATGCTCTAAATACAGCTTTCACTTACCCTCCCATATCTGACAGGTACTTTTGTTCAAGAATGGTGGTAAAGCCTGCATATGTCTCTCGGCTTATGCCAGTACTCCTCAATTCAGAAGGTGGGTGGAAGAGGAAAAGGAAATAATTTGGTCTTCCAGAGGAAATTCTAAATATCATGTTATGCACTCAGTTCTGCACTGGGATTAGCAAATACATCTGCATAGGGTAGAATTAAAATTCTCTGTTCTCACAGATGGACAGACAGACTCACTGAGGTACAGTGTCCTGGAGCCATTCTCTGTGAAGTCCTGCACTATGACACGCGGATGATGGCTCACCATGGTTTCGCAGCCTGAAAAGCACGTGTCACAGTGTGGGACCTTGGCCAGACTGATGATCAGAATACAGGAAATACGCATTAAAAACGATGACCTAGTGACACCATATTAGCAACAGTGTACCTCAGCTCAGTAAGGATATATCCTCACTGCAGATCATTACAGTAAGAGAAATACATGGGTATGTGTCATCTGTGCAATAACGCTAACAATAATGCTAACGACACCACCACCACCACCACTACTGCTAATCTACGTGAAATCAAGAAAGGACAGAGAAGTGAGGTTATGAATAGGCCTCTGTGGGTGCTGACAGGGAATGGGGTCAGAGATTGCTTGTGCTATGCTCAGCCTCTGCCTCCACTGCACACATCAGATATGCATCAGCAAATGTTATAAAGAAAGTTGCTTCAGCAGCACCTGAGGCATACAAAGACAGAAGGTGCATTTATATCAAATGCGGGATACTTGATTGCTTAAACAATAAACATAAAAGAAGACTGGTCTTATTTTCTGTACTCCTATCTGACAGTTGCTGTGGTAAAATCCTGAGTAAGTTTTCACTTTGGACTCTATGACTCAGCGCTTAAAGCATGAAGATGTATTTTCTGTAGAAACTGCACAAAAAGAACGGAGAACAGATCATTACCGTTTCCTTTTCCTTTTACCAATGAGTTAAGTATATAGTTTTCCAAATAATCAGGTACAAGGTACGCACAGTAGGTTCAGACCAGTACATACGCTGAGCTGGGGATAAAGGTGCCACATCACAGGAGTATGAAGAGTGTGCAAACTGAAAAGGTAGAGAGAAAACTGTCCTACCCATTTTAAGAAGCCCTCGTTGGGAGCATAGGTATGGTACTGAACACAGCAAAATGTGTGGGAAAACATCCAAACCGCAGAGATCAGATTGAAAGTCCTCAAAAGAAAGGAAAGCCACATTATCTTAAATTGTTTGATATTGAACTCCAGTAGAGACTGGGGCAAACCACCCACAGGGTTTCAGTGGGACACTTAAGTCTTCTTGATTTCAAAGCAAGGAGCTTTTCATACGGTCTGATGACTTGCTACTGCTGCCTAATGGAGGAGAGCATGAGGAAAGACAGGGGATGCCCATACTCCTCGAGTGACCTGGGTCTAATTTTTTAATGCGATACAAGACACATTTTCCTCTGTAATAAAGAGATTAAAAGCTGTACACAGCCATCTAAAAAGGGGACCGGTATAAAAGTGACTAGCCTCAGCTTTGAAAAGATACAGCAGTGCTGGAGAAGGCTCAGGGAAGGGCAACAAGGGCATTCAAAGGTATGGGACTGATTTAGCACCTTTGGTTTCAACAGGTATAGCCACACTTATGCTCCTCTGGTGGATTTCCCACCCTACAAAGGTTTTTGACACTACAAGATCAGGGAGATTTTACTTCGGGAAGAAACTGGAGCCTTTTTGTTTTTTTTTCTTCCCCACTGAAAATACAAGTTCGATCATTCCAGACTAGCCAATTGCCCAGAACTGAGTAAACTCAAATGTGGTATGAAAGACTCTAGTTCATGCCTTGAAGAATGTATTTGGCTCTTAGAGTCAGCATGCACAACCCTGCCACAGGCCACTACCTGATCACAGAGTCCAAAAAAGGACCACCGTGGTTGTGTTGAGAGATCTCTGTACTAGTCCAGCCGGAGGAATTTTCTGACTTAAATACTGCTTAAAATAGAAAATTCTTTCAGGAAAAATATCTGCTCTCAATTTAACATGTACCAATAACAAGGAATACACATAAATTGTCCCATGGCTTAATTATCTTCATAATTAAAATATGATGACCAGTCTCAGAAAGTTTTCTCAATCCAATCTCTTTTGAATTAAACTTTTCCTGGAAATGGACATTTTCTGGTAATGACGTGTGCAATGAAGGAACTTCCAGTCATCCCCGGTCCAATCATCCCCTTGTTCCTATCGTAGCTGCTACTACCTCTGCAGCTAGGTCTCTGACCTGCATTAAGTATTCTCTCTCCATTTGCATTATGCTATCAACTCACAATTTATCCAGTTCCTTGAAGGAGTGCGGCAAAATGCCACAGATGCCTGCCTCTTCAGTCAATTCCTTTCTTTTGCATTTGCAGCTTCTTGGCGCAGGGGTATGAGGAACACTGATTTTATTCAGGCAGATTTCAGGTGGAGGATGCCTTTTAGAAGACCAAATGCCACCCGGGAGGATGTCCCATTGTGTCCTTAAAACAGCTGGTCTGGCTTCTCAGGATCTGCCTGTTGTTGGCAGTGCCACCTCATTAACAAATCTTCTGGCAACCACACACTTGTGGTACTCATGGGGGAGCAATCTCCTGCGATCGGTTCCAATAATGTGACCACGTCAGGGCAGTCACGGAGGCCAAACCGATCGGCCGCGCCTCTGCGATAACGGCTGCGTGGTGCTCAGCTGCCCTCTGGGCCTAAACCACGACAGGGCATCTGGGGATGATCTCATAACCTAGGTGGATGTGTCTTGCTCAGCATCTCAGTGGGAAACTGGACTTGAAATCTGTAAATACAGCAGGAATGCTGCCAGCCGTTCTTCACTGCCGTCTGCGACAAAACTGTACTAGATCCCCAGTCTAGGAGGAGAGGTCCAAATAATTCTAGACATACATTTTTTCACATATGATTACAGAAGAGGCCACATAACACTGGTGTTTTTCTATGCATGGTCATGACAAAATTCCACATCAATTTCTTGTATTTTGTTTATATGACATTGCAGTTGCAATCAGTTTTGGTCACACTTTCTACTTGCTATATGTGTTATGTGCAGGGTTGTAACATTAAAAATTCCTCATGTTTCATCATAAAAATGGCTATACTTCAATCAAAAGAGATTTTTTCATGTGCATTTCTCCCTCCAGGGTTAACTGCCAAAGACTTAAGACAAAATCTATATGCACTGTTTACACAGAAGAACAGGACTTTGGGTGAGGCAAGCCTGGGTAAGGAGATCAAGTCTGGGACTTTGTAAAGGTCCTAAAGAGACATCTGTGTGTCAGTGGGATTTTTCAAAAGCAGTGACCTATCTCACTTTCACCTATTCACTTCTTTAGGCAACTAAACAGCTTGGAAAGTCTTAGAAGATGAGAGGCAGAACTGGTAAAAAAACCCCAAAATTTTATTTCTACGATATTTTGCTATGCGCGACTGTAATATAACGAACTTAAGGGCACTCTGGGTTATCTTCCATCCTTCTGATAGGAAAGCTAATTTTCAGATATTATTCAAATGTCCACTGTGAATGGCCAGATAGATCAGTATATTCATGTTTTGGCAGCTCTAGATAAGACAAAGATTGCCCTCTTTCACTGTCCAAACATTGTTTATGTTACTGTTTAACATGTGTACTTCCTGTCTTTACACAAATGTTTTTTCTTATTATTTACACCATACCTTCCCATTGCCTCTACAAGCATCAGATCACAGACTGTATTTACACAACGTATAGCATGTCACCTGAAATCAGGAAAGCTCAAGACTTCCCCATCAAAACTTTTTATTTTCCCTTTTTGTGGCTTACCTTATACATTCTACTGATTCTGGTCTTGATTTTAGATCCTGGTCTTTAGCAGCCACTCCAAAATGAATGGGGAACAATCCTCCAAGAATAATGTCTCCCTTCTTCTGTGCCCGTTGGTTTGGCCCATAGGCAGCGGTGCTCCAGGTAAATAGCAAAAGAATCAAGCAGCAGCTATATAAAGTCATTGTTCCTCTTTTCACCAGGGGGTTATAGCATGCAAAATTGAAAAAGATGATGTAAGAAAGCAGATGTCGCAACGTCTAAGCTTTCCCTTTCCTTAATACAACGCAGAGAGGATTTGGAACACATGTCTGCAGGGAGACAAGCAACAAGGTGGGATCCACAGTGCTGGTGTTTCTCCCTCTGTCTTCTCCATTGCAAAACAACAATTCAGTGGTCCTTCTTTCTTCATAACCAAAGCACTATGGAGAGCCCATCTCTGAGAACTGTAAAAGAAAGACACGAAAAGTGATCCCAGCTATACACCAGGGCCCCATGCTGCCACAGTGGTTCTGCTTCGTCAGACCAACCTTTCAGTACGCCCCTGAGGCTGCCCCCACTCAACAACCCACCCAGGACACATAAAAACCTTGACACGAGTAAGCCAGGCACGCCAGTGCCACCAGCCACACCTCCTCAAACAAGTGTCAGATGCCTACTTCTCTATCACAGTTGTAAGGTGGGTTACTAAATCGTCCTTTGGTTCTGTGTGACTGTCACAGGAAGCCCTGTAAAACTTGTGATCAGACCTCCATGAACAGGGCACACTGTGAAACACTCGGGTGGGCAAGGGGGAATACGGAAGCATCAAATACAGTAAGAATCAAATCCTTCTCTTAAGCAGGTAACTGATAATCTTTTTGTGTCAGTCCATCTCCTCTTTTCCATTGAATGGTTTTAACTCTCCGGTTTGAACCTACCCTTGCTAAAAATGAAACAAGATCACAAGAAAGACTTCATTCACATTGAAAGTGAGGATGACTTCCAGGGAAGCATTTGAAATCAAGATACTTCTCCATAATGAATCATGAAGGCTTGAAAGGTTCAGTGATCATGTCATTCCAAGCTTAGCTGCAGGGCTTTGAAGACTGTATCCTGGGGATAAGAAATACTGCAGCTTCTCTGTGCTCAATACATTTTCCCTGTGGCTGGTCTACAGGCCTGACAAATTAAGAACTAACTTAATTATGGCATATGAAAATGGCTACGACTATGGAGGAGGAGGTAGCACGAAAAATTCACAATAAACAACTCGTCAGCCTATTTGGAACAGGTCTAAAAGCTAGTAGTAAAAATCTGAAGTTAGTCATAATCAGAACAGAAGCTAGGCATATGTTGCTAATGCTGAGGACAGTTAATTTCTGAAACAAGTCATTGAGAGTTTTCAAGTGCTGAGAACCTCTTTATGAGGATGACTTATTATGCACTAAATGTACCTAGACAGATTTGACCTCTACCTATGTTAAAAAAAGAGCTACTGCAGGGAAACACTGTGATCATGGGGGTTCTTCCAGTAGCCAGACTTACTGATTATGCATGCTGTGTGACCTCAAGCATTTGGAAATATTTTGTAAACTTTTGTTAAAATGAAGGTCCAGATGAAGCAATCAATGGGAGAAGAGAGACAAAGCTCACATCATTTTCATGCCTCTGCCATCAGTACGCTTATACAGCTGGGTAGACACTGCACTTCTCCATGGCAGGTCCACTCAAAACTACTCTTTGGTCCCGGATTGAACTAGCACATTTTTATTGGCAAGGGCAATCAAATCTTTGGCTAGAGATCAAAATACGTCTAGGCAAACAATTTTCTATCAGGAAATGTGGAGTGACACTGAAAGATTTTGAAGGAACAAACTGTTTTCCATATGAAAAAATATGTATTTCATGTTTGTAGCATCCAAGTGACTCAATCCAAACTCAGACACTCCCATTTTTGACAAGATTGACAGCTAGATCCCTACTCTTGAATGGGGGTTTCAACACCATCCTCAAAATCTGAAACATGGACATGAAATATCCAGCTGCTGCTGGCACTGGCAGTCAGAAAACACTGTGGGATGTTCCTCTGGCAAGCTAGGGCACACTGCTCTAGCCAGGATCCAATATTGTCTCTCACTTGTGAGCGCACTGCCTTAATATCTGAGTGGTACTTTTTGCTGAGGAGCCTCTGGTATTGGCAGGGCTCCTTTGACAGCAGGATGACAGAACTTTAACCAGAGCCAGGATTAGGAGGTGACAGAGCAGTGCAACAAGGGAGTATCCCCAACCTTTTGGGTTCTCATTTTTCCTGGCAGATGGTGGTTCTTATTTCTTTGGGTGTCCAACAGAATACAGAAGGAAACCCTCTGCCACATTTCAGCTAGGGAAAGATCATCTTCCTCCCACCACTTACGGATTCAGAAAAGATACGAAAAAGCATATCAGACATTTTTTAGACTGATGTTATCTCTCTCCACCTGGCTGAAGCTAAGTCTGCCAGGTCCTACGGGACTAATTACTGAAAGGAAAACAATCATTGCAGTCAGGTGCAGACACTTTCTATTCTGTCCTGGTTCGCAAAGCCCTCCTGCTATCTGATGCCCCATGGAAATATCTACAGTCGTCTACAGAATGGGTGTCTGGTCTTGTGGCAGGAAGAGAGACATGGACTGCCAACTGCAGAAGAGAGCTTTATGCCTTGACCCACTGCCTTGACACACAGCTAGCCTTCCTGTGCATACAGTCAGAGAGATGGTAAATGTGCAGCAAGCTCAGTGCTTCAGGAGCACATCAAATTTATTGCAGATGAGGAGGTCAAGTATAGCATGAATGCTGTCTACATCTGCTCGCAGCCCACTCCCTGCCCCAGTGTGAAGACCACTTAGGAAAGTTTCCACCCACATGGAGAACCATGGCCAGGTCATCCCTGCCACTACTCTGCCTATCCTTTTTTGCAAGCACTGCTCAGATCAGGCAGCAAGGAGACACACAGTCAAACCGTTCTACTATTTCCAGTCTGTTCCTTGATGCCATCTTTCTGAGGGCACTCTCCCAACACAGAGCTGTCCTGGGTTTGAGTGAGTGGTGGGGGTTTTTGTATCAGGGGAGCGGGCTGCAGTGGTGGCCCCTGTGAGAAGCTTCTCAAAGCTCCCCCGGCTCCACGGTGGACCCACCTCTGCACCAAGGCCGAGCCAATCAACTGCACCTCTGCGATAACTTATTTAAGAAGGGACCTGGGAGGAGGAGTTGGAGTTGAGACATCTCCATGAATACCAAGGTCAGTGGAGTAACGGAGGAAGAAAGGGGTGGAGGTGCACCAGAGCGGAGACCCCCCTGTATCCTGTGGTGAGATGGCCTGCCCTGCCACCCATGAAGGTCTACGGTGGAGCAGACACTGATTTATGGCCTGTGAGGGGCCTCATATGTTCAACTAAAGTGTCTATGCTCAAAGGAGGCTGGGATCTTGTGGGAAGAAGCATCCCCCGCTGCTGTAGTTTAGCACTAGGAGGATTGCAAAGCGTGGGGGTGTCCCACGCGAGAGCAGCTCAGGAAGGGCTGCAGCCCGTGGGAGGGACTCCAGTTGGAGAAAGTTTGTGGAGGACTGTCTCCTGTGAGATGGGGACCACGCTGGAGCAGGGGGAAGAAGTTTCAGAAGCTCCCTCCACGAAAGATGGAAGAAGCAGCATCACTGACTGCACCCCCCATTCCCTGTCCCTTGTGCTGCTGAGGGAGGAGGTAGAGATATCAGGAGCAGAGCTGAGCCCGGGAAGAAGGGAGGGGTGGGGGAAGGAGTTCTCAAGATGTAGTAATGCTTCTCACTGTCCCACTCTGTTAAGTGTTGTTGTTGTTAGTGTCTGTAATAAATCCATGTTCTTTTTTTTTTCCCCTAACGAGTCTGTCCTTTGCCCATGACCATAGTGGGTGATTTATCCCTCCCTGTCCTATCTCGAATCCCAAGCTTGGCTTATTTTCTCCTTCTCAGCAACAGGGGAGAAGGGGGCAGTGAATGGCTGGATGGTTGTCCTGGGTTTGAGTGAGTCGTGGTCTGAGCTCAGTTGCCTTCTGAACTCAGACCACCAAGCCTTTTTGCTTTATCTTCTCCTCCACAGCGTTGGGGGGGAAAGAAGGGAGTGAGCGTCTGCATGGTGCTCAGTTGCCCTCTGAGCTCAAACCACTACATGAGTGAACCAATAGCATGGGATCCCTGAGAAAAAGAGTGGCCTGCTCCCCAGCTGAAATGCTTCACCTGCTTTGCAGTCTGCTCTTCAGCCACATCTAAAGGTGGGTAGGACCCTTATGAATTGCTCTGGGGCCTGCAAATGGTCAGTGAAGGACTGGGGCTGAGAAGTGAGGTCTGTCACATGAGCTCTGATCCAGCTGGTCCCAGTGTGAATGGCACATACCAGTGGAGCTGGGTGCTCTGCCTTTGGTGCAGCTGGTTGCACTTGCCTCCTTGCCTGCTTCATTGATCTATCTGGGTAGATACATCTTCCTCTTAACCACCATTTCTGTCTGGCAGAGGCATGAAAAGCTACGCTGGGAGCTTCTGTTCTTAGAAGCAACTATGTGTTGAACAAAATATTTTTACACTCATTTTGATTAGCTTCTGTGCATGTTCCAAAACAAGCAGTCACAAGAAAATCAATAACAACATGCCAAAATTGTGTCCCCTTCTGGACAACTCTGTAAGAAATAGCAGACAAAAAGCAAGTAAAATGCTCTCCTGGGTGGCAAAGTGAGATTAAAAACCAGGAAGTAATGCGGTAGTATTGTTAAAGTCAATTTAAATATGTTTGTAGATAGTGTTGGCTCAGATACACCTGTCCCAGTGTAGCATATGAAAGCAACTCAGAAAGCCAGCAAAGAAGTTGTGTATCCAAGAGTGATTTCATAGTTAGAAAGGTTGTCAGTGCTTAAATTAAGAGAGGATATGAAGGAAAGGGAAGAGCAGAAAAGATCTGAAATTATAAGCAGTACACGGAGTCTGATGTGGGAGGCAAGAGCTCATGGCTGACACTTGCAGGCAAAGGGAAAGAGGAGCAACCTGGAGCTTTGTCCAGAGCCCACTTTCTGTGGGGGGCTCTCTGACTAGCAAGAGCAAGGGTGCCCAGGGGAGCTGGCATCGTGGGCACAGCAGTTGTGCTAGGGCAGAGCATCCTTGTTTAAATACCACCAAGTTTGAGGATAGTATTATTAAAATGCTGCTAATCACATCTGGTAAGTAATGGACAAATCCTGCTGTGCCCAGACCAAGGGGGAGGCTGGGGGGTCACCCCAGGGCTGAGGAGCCACCTCAGCCAGCAATGCAGCCTTCTAGGAGAGCAAGGAGGAGTCTTAGGAAAAGGAAACGAGAGGAACAGGGGTCTGTATTTCCATTTCTTCAGTAGTTAAAAAAAAGAAGCAGGAAAAAAAGTTGATACAATATTCTGAGGTAAGGCCCAGCACAGGTGGGGCCAGTACTTAA